AACAAATGGGCATTGGGCTGAAAATCCATTGGTCATGTGAAGAAAGACACTGTTAAGTAAGGAATGTGTGCGGAGCTTCTGGAAAAGGTCGAGGTTTAGAAACCCAATTCTACTTTCTCATGAAATCTCGGCATTACTATTGAAGAAGAAGCCGAACAAGAAAAAGTGATTCTCGAACCGATCTTTAGCCAACATATTTATTGATTAGTTGCGTCAATTAAGTCCTATGTTTGTGCAACATGAGCTTCATGGAGCGTGATTCGGCTTGCTTGGGACCTCTAGGTCAGAGGCCCCGACTTCTACTCCTAAGATGTCCGGCCGAGGATCTCTTGACTTAGTAGGTTTGCTCAGTAAGAGCAGTTATGGGTCTTATCATGAGCATTGTTGGGGATGGTAGGCAGACTTACTACGTCAAAAGAGCATCCAAGCAGGCTGAGAGCATGACCCCTCTCTGCTGAGCAATTTCGTCCGGAACCCTGAAACATGTAGTGTGGGCAGCGTGGATATGCATGATGCCGTGAGGATGAAGCGGCTACTCTTAGGCTCCAAGGGTCCAAAGAACCCCAACATGTTGGCCCTAGCCACCGAGAAAAAACGCACCCATTCGATTGGAGTCGCTCTAGGTCATTTCTACGTTGCCTACGTATGACATGCATGGCTTCCCCACACATTCCCATAGCTCAGCCACCACCCTTGCCTCTATGCCGCATCCGTGCTGGCAAAATGTCCCATTTGAACCACATATAATGGCAGTGCTGGCGACTATCCTTAATGCTAGCCTGCAAGACTGCAAGATAGCAGCGCTACCGTCCCAAAGCACACATCAAAACTTGATAGGGAGAGAAGTCGTTGAAAAGCCTTTGTTGGGGGTTCAGTGGTAATATTTTTGAAGAATGCCCCTTTACATCCCTATGCCCACGTATGGATACATTTGAGATTCCATGTTAGTTTCCCACACCCCCCAAAAGGATCTAAAGATTAGATCCCCTAGAACCATAGGGAGAATTATATAAGGATTCTATAGGGGTTATAATGGGTCTATATGGGGGATCTAATTTTTTAGATCCTCCCAGGGAGATTCTAACCCTAAACCCTAACCCTAAAATGTTAGTTTGGGGAATCATAGCAACTCGCGGCCCAAGACTCGAAGGTCTTTTGATTCACAGTGCCGAAGAGCATGTGAATTTTGCCTGGTGCTTAGATTGCAGGGGCCGTGCTTGGGGGCTTGATTGCTTTGGGGTAAACAAAGGCTGATACATATATATATTAGGTGGACCCCCCAACCAGTAATAGCGACTACAAGGGATAATAGGGATTATATTAGGGTCCTCTTATATTCTTATTATACCACTATTACAGGGTGGGGGCTCCCTCCTAACATATATAATGGGTTTCAGGTTCCCTGTCGGACAGCTTTGCCTCGCCTTGCTAGGGAGTAAGCAAAGAGATGCGCTATTGAAATGATTTGGGAGATTATAGGAGGACTTTAGGGTTTAGGGTTTAGGTTGGGGACAGATTCAACCATTCCTCCTTAAAGAGGCAGAAGCTGAGTGTCCCAACAAGAAGGCTGGATGGGTAGCCAAATAGAGGTAGAACAAGTGGATGGTTCAGGAGAAGAGCAGCAGGAGCATTGCAGCTGCCCTCCCATGACCTCTTTGAACATCTAAATAGTATGTCACCAAATGCACGCACAAACTTAAACCAAGGCAAATCCAAGCCGAACACCCCGTCGCACAAAACGCTGCCCAGGTATCGGAACCATAACTGACTATTAATACTAATAGTGATAAGGATATTAACAACAGCAATAATAATGCTAGTTAATTATGGTCATGGCTACATATAATACTTGCTTCTTTGGGCTTGAGGATGTGTCGCAGTTGGGAAACCGCTCTTGGGCCTCTTGCTTGCGGTCCTAGCGCCCATCCACACCCCTAATGCATAATTACGGCTTTACAGGCTGGGGCATTACTGCAGGTGCGTAAGTAGCTCGAGAAGTAGAGAAGGGTTTTGCAGCGTGTCATGCCATGCATGTATGAAGACCACAATGTAAGGCTATCAGCGTTTATTCAGCTGGCTCCTTTGTGAAGTCTCAGAACCAGCAATTAGGCCAGTTTAGAAAGATCTTCATGCGTTATACTTTGCCCACTTTTCAGGCCTCTGCATTAGCTCTGAACAGCCGGCCACATCAGCTAAGCTGCTGTCGCGTGAGGACTTGATAATCTCAGACAAGGACGCGCGCTCCTCCGGCGTCTTTTCATACCTCATGGCAAAATTTGCACGGAAGCGCTTCACTGCTTTGTCTCTGATTTGCGGCTGGAAACGTTGAGAAAAGCGGCGTAGTTTACAATGGGACCCTAGAAAAACCCTAGATTGCCACTTGAATGCCAGGCGAAGACTGAGAGCGCCAGTATGCTATCCTAAGACAGCATGCAAGAGAAGCACCATGCATTTTGCTTGCAACTTCAGACGTGGTGAGAGAGAACACCAAAACATGGCCTACTCTGCATACGAACATATGCGAACGCTCAGAAGGGCCTGGCAATATATGCGGCTTCAAAAAAAACGAACCCTCATATGAGCCATACTCTAAAGTCCTAGTATCCCCTTTACTAACCCCTATAGTAGATCCCTATATAATTTCCTATATCACCCCCTCAAAGGAGTTTAGAGTATCGTACATATGGTCAGCCATCTCGGGAGCTGGTATAGGACCTCTTGCGCATAATCGACATTAGGGATCACCATGCGCATGTGCATTGGGTTAGGCCCCCGCCCACGCATAGTGGTATGTTAGGAATATATAGGGACCCTAACTACCATTTTCCATTGTGGTGCGCATATGTGTATGGACGAGGGATAGGAATTCCCTCACCATGGGAATCCCCAATCCCGTGATTGTGCTCCTTGAACTTCTGTAACTGGAGTTTTGCCAATAAACTGCCCATAAAATGCTAAACGAAATCTTACCTGTAGAAGTCTCTCCGATTGGGTCTGGCAGATGAGAGAGATTCAGCTTCCCCATTTCTGCCGTGATGCACAGGTGGGGTCCAGCTGTCCTGTGCTGCAGCCAAGTTTGCATGCAAATCGACAGAGCTGGCTAGTGAAAGCTGAAGATTTTCGGGGAATCTAATTTAAGATCCTCGGTCAGATCCTCTCTTTGAACCCAAAACTACTCCTAGGGCATCCTCGTCATACAGTTCCTCATGCTGATCCAGGCGATCTAGTTTTTAGATCCTTTTGGGGGTCTGGGCCTCAAGGGCGTTTTGAGTCTAGGGTGCGGTCCTCTCAGGATAAGGATGCCTTACAGAGTCTGAGGTTTCGTAGGGGTGAAACGGGATCGTGAAGCTGGCAAGTCATGCTAAGGACCCATCTTAACCAGATTGCCTACAGTTCATGCAACTCACCTGGCGAAACCCTGAACCCTAAACCCCTATACCCTAAACCTCCTGTAAACTGCAAAGCCAACATGTTGTCTTTGCTTTGGCGCGTCCTCGCCGCCCTTCGTCGCCTCGGCACTGACACCCGTGCGACGTCCAACTGGTCTCTTCACCTGTTAGTCCCATAGTAGTAATAAGAATACAAGTATAACAAAAGCAATAAGAATAAAAACAGTAGTATAATAACCCCACAGGGCAAGAAAAAAGGTCTGCCTTCTAAGGAGTACATGACTGCTGGATGGGATCTGAAGAAAAAGATAAGACTAATGTGTCTTCACCTGACAGATAGAACCAAACCGCAAAGTATAGCGGTGCCCGTCAGAAGCATGTGTAAAAGAAGGCATAAGAAGGCTATAGCTTTCACAGGCGCTCGAGATTGGGTTGTAAGTTGGCATAAGAGGGATTTAGGGCCCCTTGGGCTTGTGCATGCATCAAAGGTCAAGGCTTCGGAGTTTGGAAATTTAGAGGTTAGGATACTGAATGCGCTCGTCTCAGACGAGGCTCTAATGCAGTTGCTTTGAAGTTCAGGGTAAATTGACGCCCATTAAGGTACTTATCCAAAGACAAACATATCACGGGACCTGGTGGTCTTATAGCTGGGCAAAAATAAGCTTGTAATTGGGTTTGAAATACCGCGAACCTCTAAGTGGAGTGGCTTGATGACTTGTTCATGATTTTCCCTACATACTATCCCCGAGGTTGCCCCCTTAATTGGAATTACTTAAAAAATGACTAGGCCTAATTGGACCCGGGGAGGGGGGTAATCAAGGGGGAGGGTGGTGGTTGGTAACCCATGACTTGCAAGCCTAAGCATTCCATGCTGAAAGACACATATTGGCCAAAGTTGGAATATGTGGATGTCCTTTGTGGGCGGGCCACTTCCTAGATATTCAAACTTTCATGCTGCCCCTTGGCAAGTTGTGTGACCAGTGTTTGAATCAGACCATTGCTTCAGTTCCGCTTCGGATTTAGGATTTAGGGTTTTGGGTTCGTTAAACTTAAAACTCCAATCAAACCCTGACTGGCTGCCTCAGAAGGACTTAAATGCCTTCTGTCACAACAGCCAATTGACAAGTTGCCGGCGCAAGCGACCAGGCCGTCCTCCCCTAGACTGACACGGAACATCGAGGAGCCCCAGCGAAGGGCCGATAGACAGGAACATATCTTGTCGTTGGAGAACGGCAGTGGGCTTTCTGGGCAAGACCCTATCATGGCGGAGTCTAGCCTAAACCGCCAAACAGTCGCCTAAAACAGTCCAGGGGGGGTTCTCAAAATTGGGAGGTGCCCGTAGGGCCCGAGGGATGTATGATGATTACAGAGGGACTATATCGGGATGATCTAGAGCAATGTGCCTATACCTTTCGAACCTAGGGAAATGTATCAGCCCTACGCCATTACCACCGTGAATCCTAACCCTTGCTTGCCTGGGACTTCCCGGTAATTGTAGCTGGCTTTGTGACATGTTCTAGGCACCCGAAGCCCAAAGAGCCAAGCCTCGTACCTAAGCCCCAAGCTATGAACCCCATGAGCCCTAAACCACGTCGCCTGCTGGATGGGTACGGACTCTGCGGGCTGGTCCGGGTCGCTGTCCGAATCGGCGCCATCCTGGTAGGGCTCAGACTTCTTTTTTAGGGGCTTAGGGTTTGGGGTTCACGGCTTAGGGAACCCTGGTGTTGTTATAGGGTTAGGGTCGATGGGTTTAGGGCGCAGGGCATAGATTTCACTGGATGTGAGCACGGAGCGCAGGACTGGAGAAGAACAAGGCAACTTGCGCATGATTAGGCATTCTTCCTCCATTCTCTATGGACTTTCACCAAGGGCAGAGCTACCGGAGTCACGAAAAAAAAAGCTTAGATGTAGGGCTTTTTATGCAACTTCTTAGTAGGGCATGAAGGACTTCAGGGGCGCTTCGGCTGCTAAGGGGATTGTGTTTTTTTGGGTTTTGGGTTTAGGGTTTAGGGTTTAGGGCATTTTCTTCGTATGAAAAGAAGTCGCAGAGATATTCAGGGTGTAGGTGGACCTTAGAATCTTTCAAACGGCAGCTTATCAGTTCGCTCAGCCCAGGAACTTTTACAATCACTTCTGGTTCAAGACTCGTTGGACTCAATGCAAAGAACCTCTACTGTGGACAGGGGTACCCGAAGAGCTCACAGGGTATGTGTGCAAAAAAGAAGTAAAGTTCAAGGTACTCTCGGTTTCCCTTCACAATACAAGCCTTTTACAGCAGTGACCTGCCTACGGGGCTTCAGAAACTTGACGGGGTGATGTTGCATGTTTATTAAGGAGACTCTCAGTAACTTTTTTGTCGGCCGCGTAAAGAATTTCAGGTCAATGTTTGCAGACCCACTTTAATGCGTTTTGGCTTTGGGGTCCTCACAGACTTCGGAGCATGCACTTCAGAAACGATCCCAGAGCCCCCAGAATCACAGAAGCATTAAGAGGACGCATCTTTCACAAGTTCTGCCCAGCACCCACATGGTTGGGGGGTTGCCTACAAAGTGGGTGCTACATTGAATGTAAAAAGATTGGGGTATAATGCGATGATACGGCATCAAGGGCTGCGGGTTATGGCTGCAGGGCTCTGGCAGATGGGTCATCCAAAGCTTTGGCCTAAATGTTTGATGACATTTGCTCGTGCTTCCATGGAGAGGAAAAGGAGTTCGAAAACAATGGACTTGCGGCAAGTTTCTTAGTCTTTACTTGGTAGGTAGATGTTACCCTATACACAGGGCCACAACGAGCAGCAACCCCAACCTATGTGGCAGGTTGTAGAAAAGCAGGCAACCCTTATCGCCGGAGTACTCCTTTCCACCGGTGGTTAGTAGGGAATGAGGGAATATATTCTCTCTATATATACACACATATATATATATATGTGTATATTCATTCCCCTTATTCCCTCCTAACCCCCAGCAAGTATGGCAAGGTTGATTAACCATCTTCTTAAACTGGGACTCCCGCAAACAAGGAATCCCAACCATCCCAGGAGCTTCAACCCGAAAGGGCAAACCCCACATCCCCCACGCAGTTTAGGGCTTACAGAAATTGTATAGGGTTCATGTCCGGGTTCTTGGGCGGGTTTTGTCCGGTTTTAGTTCTTAACCTTTGGTTGCCTTTGGCCCTATGCAATTTCTGTTTATCTTGACCTCGAGGGTTTAGGGTTCAGGGTTTAGGGTGGAAAGAAGTAATAGACTCCCTTTTTGTAAGGGCCGTGGTCTTCATGGGGTCTCTTTTCAGTGTGCATGTGAACTATTAACTCTGCTCCAAGTATTCCCCTTAATCACCACAATAGTAACTGTAGCAGTCCCCTGTAGTAAGCCCTGACATAACTTTTGTTGAAGGAGTTTGGACAGTAGCTCATATAACACCTGAAGGTCCCCAAAGGACTCCGTGGAACCGCTAGCACTGAAATGTGGGCCTCGCCCTTGGATGCCGCCCGCTCCTTGGATGCACTACTTAGTATCCCTAATATACTGGACTCAGTAGGGTATAGGCTGTAGGGGATCTGGAGTGGTGCGAAGTTCCTTCCTTCCAAAATGCTCGATAGTAAGGTAGAACGCTTTATTACAATCTGAAAGAAAAACGGACAGGAGTGACCAAGGGACTGCAGGGAAGTTGTGAACAGACAATTCCCACCCAGTGTGGAATCAACCCCCTGCTTTGAGACTCAAGCTCTACTGAGTTTTCCACGTAATTCCAGGAGCATTTCCTGCCTGCAGACTTGTTGTTAAGACGACACATGTAAAACAATGAATATGTCTGATGCGCAGGCAAACGCGGAGCTTGACAATTTGTAAACCTGAGCTGTTAAGCCCTGAGGTACCCAATATACGTAATGGACGAGGCATTGACACTTGACATTATGGTGTCCTTAGTTTTCCTAAATATCTGGTTTCTCTGGGTCGGCCCCGTTGGCAAAAAGGCTCGAGCCCCTCAATCCCGCACCCAGTCCAAAGCGCATGAAACCGAACCTAAACGTCCTAAACCTTCCACAACTAAAGAATGATTCCGGCACCCACAACACCCCACATCATCAATAACGCTGAAACCTGCAACTTTTGTTCCCCCGGCAACAACAGCAACAAAGGTTTGGGTTTCGGGTTTAAGGCTTGGCTACCACGGCCCATGTATTCAGGACCCTATACTACTCTTCTATACTCTTCTAACGGCCATAGAGTCTGGATGTTTGAGGGTCCGGGCAACCCAAAACCCACTTCTTACAATGTCGTTTCCAGCTAAACATGATTTCAGAGACCATCTCCATGCCCAACTGCAAATGAGGTTTCTCCCTGTATCTATGTCATGCATCTCCAGAACCCACATGTCACCCCAACATGCCCCCAAGCTCGTCCACCAAAACCAGTCCCTTAACCTGAATCCTAAGTCTCAGACCCTAAACCCTAAACCCTTAAACCCTAAATCCTAAACCCTAAACCCTAAACAATTCTTCAAATCAGGCGGCCTCCTTGGGAGCTGGGGCCGGTGTTTCGGCGGCTGCGGCGGCGGGCGCCGCTGCGGCGGAGGAGCTGGCACCGCCCGGAGCAGAGAAGCCCTCGTACTCTGGAGGGGCCTGGAAAGCCAGTGTTCACCTACGAATTGAAATTACGAAGCAACAGTAAGTCTATGATAGCACATGTATATATAATATTAGAAATACACATGACGCGAGACAAAAGGATATCACCTTGGTCATAAATAGGGTTTTGCCCTATAGGCAGTGCTCCGGTGCTCCGTAAAGGGAAAGAATTTGAAGCAACAAGCTCAGGATCAGGAGATGCCTGGGTGCCGTGTGATGGCAGCCCATGGTTTGAGCTACAGTCTGAACTCCTTAAAGGGGGATATACAGGGGATTATGTAGGGGTGTATGATAGGGTCTATTAAGGGGGATACTAGGAGTTTTGCCTATGGCCTATATAATAGAAGCTAACAGTTGGGTCAGGGTGGCTGAGAGCGAAGGTCAGGACCGATTCCTTTGCGAACCCTCCGGCCCGTAAACCCTGAACCTTTGTAGTCCCCCTTAAGTAGGTAGAATATGGGGTGTATGGAGATCTTATTATAATATACCAAAGCCATATTCTATCTACTTAAGGGGGACTACAAACCCTCAACCAGAGGCCGAGCAAGGATAGAGATCATGCTATTGTTGTTGTCTTTAATATGCTTACAAGTATTTGCCTTCTCTCTTGGTTCGAAGCATGATTAATCTTTTGCCTGTTGATAATATTCTTACTACTACTATCAGACTGTCATATTCATGCCTGGCATTGTTCTTTGCATTGTGATTATCAGAGGTTTGAGAAGGAAGGTTGAGGGGATTGTGCGTTGCTCTTTACCTTTGTTGCACCTGAGAGGGTTGGTCCAGGAAATTCATCCAGGAAGTAGCTGTTTGGCACTTCCCCTCTTCCAAGTTGAGCAGGTCAACACAAAACACATTCCAAGCAGCAGGGAAAAGAGCCGGATAATCCCTGAACCGCGAAACCCTGAACCCTTATCACATCAGCGATCCGGAATTGCAAGAACCTAGCACCGCAAATGATTCAAAGCCCAAACCTTGCGTACGTACATGCGGTCCCTCAGGTGTGGTTGCTCTGTATTCTGCGAAGTCATATGCAGATTCAGACCCGAGACTGCTATACCGTACCAAGTGGTTAAGCTCGTCACCAAAACGCCACAAATGAGGGCCAAAATTTGAGACATAAACCTGAAATTCTCACATCTGAAGCCTCAACCGCTTTACCTAAACTTTGAACCTTATATATCTTGGAATCTTAGACCTGTGACCTGCAGCACATAAATCCCTAAACCCTAAACCCTAAATACCAGGGTTGAGAACTCTGGCCTTCTGCGCGGCCTCGTAGCATATGGCTTTAAAAGTCTCTCGGTCCAGCTCCCACAAGACACACTTCCTCAGATGACGGCTTACTTGTCTGTTGTGAGTTGCAATACAGGTTTCAGGTTTGAAGCTTATGCGCTTAGGGTTGACGGTTTTAGGGTTAAAAGGAAATGGAGACTAGCATACTTTGTGACTTTGTGGTTATATAGCTACGGTTAACTGTTGAATGTTACCTCCAGCTGGCAGGAAATGAGTGAGAAGGCTGCATCAGAGGAAATATGGAGCTCTTACAGGATCCTCAGTAACCCAGGCATAAAATGAGGTCCCTTTATAGCACAAGCTAAATTTTTTACGAAACCTAGAACCCCGCCCCACCAAAAAAAGAAGGAGCACCAAGCACACCAAGGCGTACTCGGAACCCAGCTTTGAAGTTATCATTGAATCAACCCTTTTGCGTTTAGGGTTTAGGTATTCAGGGACTCAGGGTCTAAGCCCAACACCGTGGGGCTTGCTCCATGGTAAGATCCCTAAACCCTACAAACCCTAAACCGCGTGGAGGGTTCGGATCAGCGTCTTGGGGTCAAGATTTGGAATCCCGGGATGAAGGCTGGAGACCATTTGGCTTAAAACCCTATATAACCGGTCGCGACATTTCCAACAATGACACTGGCTTCGGGTTGCAGAAGCACGATTGAAACCCCAGCAACATTCAAACTGCCAGGTACAAACATCACTACCCTAGTCTGGAGTACACACCAGAAAAAAAAAGTATAGGTTTTCTTAGGTATAAACTGTTCTAATAAGAACCCAGGAACCAAAAAAATCAAAGTGTAGTACTCCAATGTTGGGACTAAGCAACCGTTACAGGCTTTGAGATGCCTCAAGGGTTTAGGTTTAGGGTTTGGGGGGTTAGGGTTTAAGGTTTAGGGTTTAGGGTCTAGGGTTTAAGTAGGGTTTCATGCCAACCTGTCATCAATATTCAATCCTACAAGGATCTAAATATTTGGACCCCCTTGTCTAAGCCGGATACAGGAAATGTTGTTCATGAATCAGAGGTCTACACAACCTGAACTCCGAGACCCCTTAACCGCCTTAGCATCCCAACCTCCTCAGCCCTAGATTCTCAGACGCCAGTCTGCTGAACGCTAAACCCCGAACCCCACACCCTGAAGAGGGATGAAGCCAAGCATCTGCGAAGCCACTACCGAAGCGGCACGGCGGCAGTTGTAGAGGAGCCTTGGTCTAACCTAACTAAGCTTGTAGGGCTGCATCCAAGGGTTTATGAGAACTATACAAAGATTAGGACTTAGATATGTACCCCCCAAATCTGGAACCTTATTATGCCTTATTAAGTCCTTGTTAGCTCCTGCTTAAACCCTGGGGGGAGTACATGTGGAGGGGTGCGTTGTAACTCCTAAAAAGACCCTGCATGTTGACCCTGGCCTCGATACACTCAGCCCCCATCTCCCTGACCTAAAACAGTCCGTCAGCAGTGTCACGTTCTCAAATTAAAGTTCCACACCTAGATGGGAGATTCCGATTAAAACATGACCCGCATTATGATTCTCACCTTATTGCAATGACAGTGGTGGCATTACATGGACTTCCAGAAATTTGGAACGCCCATACAGACCCCGCAACACGATAATCCTATTTATCAACAATCGACCCGCCATCTCAAAGCCAAATACAACCTCTGGAAGCTCTTTAAAAGGCTAAATTGAATTCACGCCATGAAGCGCGAGCTCGCCGAACACATCGCCGCGAAAGCACTTTTTGACTGACTTCTCCTGGTCAGCATCAAAGGGCACGAGAACTATAAGTACTGTCATTATTGGTATTAGTACTACTATTACTCTTATTAGTACTATTGTTATTACTACTACATCAACTACTACTTCTTGTACCACTTCTTGTGCTACTGCTTGTGCTACCGCTTGTACTACTACTACTACTACTACTACTACATCTTTATCGGGAACGGCGGGATGGATCCCTTGAGTAGCCCCATTCTAACCTTCATGATTACAATCAGTAGTTGCCATCTTGTTTTCCATTCCCTACCCTAAACCCTAAACCCTAAACCGTAAACCTGTTACTTCAAGGCCGGGATCAAGGAGCATCAGTGCACGCAAGTCATTTCCTGGCTAAGTGTTCATCGTCAGATTCGTGGTGGCTACCCGCAATCCCGTACGTAGCCCTTAACCCAAACCCCTAGTAAGGGATTATAAGAGTACCCTGCCCAAAGGTACCCCCCCTTAAGATTTGGAATCCTATTAGGCCTTATGAAGCCCGCTATGATCCTCATAAGCTCCTTAAACCCCAGGGGAGGGGGGGGTACCTTTGGTGGGGGCACTATTGTAACCCCTTACCTCAAATTGGTGGTGTGGTTGCATCCCTCTCCACAAGGAGCCTCGGGGATTCTGGCGCAAAAATGTGCCAGACCCTTAGTCATTTCGTAAGCAGGCATATTGGCAAAACAAGTGTGCTCGAAAAAAAGGGGCTCCATGCGGATCCTAAAATTTGAGCACTTTCCTGCCTTGGACAAAAATGATGCCATGTTCAATTCGGCCGCTTTGATGCCCGATGAATGGTTGTCTAGTTGAAAGGCCCCTTTGTTTGAGTGATTCGGAGAACGCGGTGCATGTTTCGCATGCGACTCATAACCCATACAGCATGATAAAATTGACGGCTGCGCCCCTCTTTGTCCAAAAGCCATTGAACTTCAGGAAATGGACTAATGGCTTTGAATGGTCTCAACCTGGCCCACTGATGACATGTAGCAAGCAAGTACGCGCTGAAGCCCCAAATGGATTTCAGGCTGACCCTACAGCCCCACTCCAATCCCAGGCTGCTGGGTTGCTGTTAAGGAGCTTTTGAATCGCTATAATAAGGAACTCCAAAATTTACTCAATTATAAGAAATGGTAACTTAAATCGAGTTCCTTAACAACAACCCAGGAGGTCTACCATGCGCACAACACAGTTGGAATCCTCGTCTCCAATCTTTTTGAAACATTCGAGCTCTCCCTCCTCAATGACCCACATCACTTCGCCTTCGTCTCCTTGCACAAGGATAGGATGTGCCGGAAAAATGGTGCTAGCTTGGTGGCCCCTAAACTAAACTATGCATGGATTCCACAAATTGAAGCGTAGGAGTTACTTTCTGCAATGCCCGGATGCAGGCTTAAAGGCGACAAGGCTCAATTGCACGGAAGTTCGATGACCGCTAATCTTTCGTGGGTAGAGTGTGGGTATACAGGATTTTTGGAATGTCCCTGTCAACTCCCAGATACCGCAAGAATCGAGGAGAGGGTGGCGCAGGTTAAGAAACCCCCGTTCTGAGTTTGGCAGGCCTTTTGCAGCATAGGCTTGGGTCTCTGAACCCTAGACTCTTAGCCCCACAATTTACGATTTCACATGATCCCGCAAGCGCCTAGAGGGGTCTGTTTATGGATTGCTCGAACTCACCAACCTCGTGGTTTCTCTTTAGGCCCTGGGTTTATAGGGTTTAGGGTCTAGGGCATAAACCTTGTGGTCCTTTGGATTTCCAGCGACTAGCCAATGTATTCTGTCATGTTCCCGTTAGAAACGTTTGGACAGATCTTGCCATGAACAGGGGGCCCCATTTTCCAACCCCGATATACTGTAATCCTTATTATAGGGGGACCCTAAACCCTAAACCCCTGAACCCCTAAACCCTATTCAAAAAATCACATATCATAACCAGCGGCTCTCTGGGCTCATGTTGGCTCCAGTTCTACGCGAAGTTCATTGGGGTAATCTTATGGATGTTGAGTTGGTGTTGAGCATAAAAATGCATGGACGTCAGAACAGGATCATGGTGGGGTTTAGGGTTTAGGGTTTAGGGGGACCCCAGTGATTCTGCAGGATATGTTTTTGGGGATTTGCTATGTTCCGGGTCGCAGAATTCAGGGTCCTGCGAAACGTTCCCTACTTAAAGGACTTCCACGTTTTGCGGCTGCGGGTTTAGGATGGAGCAATCTAGAGCCAGGGCTTGAATAATGTCTGGGGCTATGTGGTACTCTACGTATGTGGCTCTTGTAAAGGAGGACTGCCTTTTACAACTTGTTTGGGCGCTTAGCCTTCTGGAGCTCGTCCCACGCCCTGCCCTTCCAGACCTCAAAGACCAGTACACTCCCCCAAACTAACATGGAAACCCAAATTATCCCCTTTCAGAAGGACTGTAGGCCTTATAGGGCCCTTCTTAGGTTTCCATGTTAGTTTCCGGGAGCGTAACTCAAACCTACTGCGATCGGACTACCACCCTGCATGTGTCTAAGCATCCTAGGCCTTAAGGTCATGCCATGAACAGTAGAGCCCTTCTGTAAACCCCTAAACCCCCAACCCCTAAGACCCTAAACCCTTCAAACCCTATTCCCCTGAAGCCCAAACCCCTAAAACCAAACCCTAAACCCTAAGACCCTAAACCCTAAAGCCCTAGCCCCTAAACCCCCCCCAACCCCGACCCTGCCTTGCTGGATGAGACGGGTGCCGCTTTCCACTACCTCAGACGTCTACGTCTCAGGCTTTTCAGGCTGCATGAAATAGAATTATAGGGATTATATAGGGATAACGGAAAAGAACATGGAAACCCTGGGTGCCTTAAAAGGGATATATAGGGTTATATAGGGGTATATTATAGGGGTTGTATAGGGAGAATGGAAGAGAAAATGGAAACTACTATTTAGTTTTAGGGTTATAGTCCCCCTTAAGTAGATAGAATATGGGGTATATCGTTGGGATTATATAGGGATAACGGAAAAGAAAATGGAAACTACTATTTAGGGTTTAGGGCTTAGGGTTTATTGTCCCCCTTAAGTAGATAGAATATGGGGTATATTATTGGGATTATATCGGGATAATGGAACAAAAAATGGAAACTATTTAGGGTTTAGGGTTTAGGGATACAATATGGGGTATATGGGGATCTTGATGGAAGTTGCTCTCATCTCCTGCGTCTGGTCTGGGAGAGGCACATCGTAATCAATGTTGGTTTACTAGCGAGGCAGATACACAGACTGATGGCCCGTTTTGATCCAGACCCCTTACGTGGGATACCAGAACCCTCAGTCATACCCAAATCTCTTCATGCTTCCAGAGGAAATCCCCCACATCATCCAGAGACCTGATTTTCAAACATGTGCCTTGAATCCTGATATGAAGGTTTCCCAAAATTAGGGCATTTTGGGGGTCCCTATAACAAGGACGATGCTATCTTAGGTTCTATTTTGGTGTCTCCTCATTGCGGGGAACTACCATATTGTCCCTGAGCACAAATGATTTCTTAACCGCGCCAAACCCTCCACCCCTAAATCTCAAACCCTTAAAGCCGTGATGTTATGGGATAAGTGGTGATTCTCAGGGATCTCCCGCAAAAAAGGATGAGGGGAGCTTTGGAGGAAAAACTACATTGCAACAGCTAAGCCGAACCACACAGTTGAGGGTCACTCTGCTTGACCGCAGAGCTAGCGATGTGACTATCCTGCTGGCTGCGCCGGCCAAAAGCTAGGTTCCCCAGTAACCCATTCATAATAAGGGTACCCGTTTTCCTACGGTTCAGATTTAATGGGGGGGGAGCCCAGAACAGAAAAGGAAGAAAGGGTACTACTGGGGTACCTAGCAAATGAAACTCACAAGTAATCATATGCCCACCTACCAATAAAAAGTTGATGCCTAGGATCACATACTTGTATGGCATATCTGCATTTCAGTACTGCGGGGAAGGTTTAATCTGAGCAAGGGTTTGGATTCATAAGGTTAAAATACATCCAGAACTGTTGGGGTCTTTGTTCAATTTAGGGTCCCCAAATCTTAAGTACGCCACCCCAAACCAACAAGGTCTCATAAGCCCTGCTCAACCTTAATAATCCAAAACAAGCCCGAATAAGGCCTTAGTTAGTGGGGGCCCATATACTACCCTAAACCCTAACCTTGGGTATTGCCCCACCCAGGAACTGACTGCAGCAGGGATACCTTAAGGATTTTACATGTTCATATAATAATGACTATCCAACCGTTGCTGAGTGGAGAAATCCCCAATCAAAACCCTGAATCCAAAACCCTACTACACCTTGAACGAAGGCCGACCTTCTCTTGCATCGCATCCAAGATGATCTTCAAGTTCTCCGGAGTATGGTGCTTGAACCTCGTGACCCTCCTAGTGCCCTTATTGGGGTTATAGGGCCCCTGGGCCTGAATAGAGGGTAGTTGGAGGGTCTAGGCGCCGACCCATGACCCGGGATTCAGGTTTGGTTTGGGGCTTAGGGCCAGGGATCACGGTATAGGAACTCTGTTTTACGAATTAGGGATCGTGGCATAGGGACTACGAGTTCGGAGTTGAGGGTTTGGTGATCGCGCTGCGTGGCGGGGGGGGGGGGTACGTGGGACGTACGTTCGATTCCTGATGGCGGGGAACCGACATCCTAAGGGTGCCCATGCAAGAGCATTGCTTTTTGGACTATGGCAGCGTGTGGCAGCGTGCCTGATTCTAGCGAACACTTGCCGAGCCGGCACATATGATGTAATTTCATCTTTCTCACGTAGTCCTCTGTACGGCATCTCATTGCCCGGTGTGCTCTGAGCCGTCATCAAGAGCTCCTGTGCTTCTTCTCATGCGGCGAGAAGATTCCAACACTTTACCAGAAGTCACAAACCAACCAAGGGAGTGAAAAGGAGCCTTTAACCCGCTGAGCCACAATGTCTCGTTTAGCGCTGGGCTTCAACTCCGTCCCCTGCATCCTAAGTTCCAATACTAGATCCGTCACATACATGCCACAAATCCCAAACCCCAGCCCCGCATTGACACTTCAAGACCACGTGTCCCGCCCTCAGCCCAAGTTTGGCCAAGTTCAAGCCGCAAGGGCCCCAGACTCGAGTCAGAAAACCTTGTATTCTTTAACAGCTTATGCAAGCAGATAGCTCTGCAACTGCATTATAGGTTTTCCTGGCATGTGGGTTCCATCTGCCAAAAATCAAACTCCACAGCACAAATTGGGGGGCTGTAGGTGCCAAATACTAGAGACGCAATGTCTGGCGCATACAGCCTTGAAACACCAACAGTTGGCTAGCTGGACCCCTCCAGCAAGTAGAGGAACATGTCAACGGGGAGCTCTATAATCTCTATAGCTATAGTGAGGAGAGCTCATGCAGGGAGTTTCATTGAAGAACTTCTACGCTCAATGCAAGGTGTCTCTCTGGGCACAATGTTTGTGGCATATGTAGGGATCATACGCAGCTGCTTTGCAGCGAGCGAATGATATAATTTCGGGGCCGAAATTGTAAATCCTGGGGTTGCCCTCCATCTTTCTCCCAAACAAGAATGCAAGCCCCACCCTAGACCCTAAGCCTTAAACCCTAACTAAACCTAAACCCCAGGCCTTTTTTTGAGGAAGGGGGCAACTTGCAGAAAAAGGCTGCAAACTTGCTCTTTTCTTTCAATGCTATTGCTGCTGCCACTGTTTCCAATCTAGGGGGACCACCAAAAGGGGATGAGTCCTTTAGGAGGGAACCAGAACTAAATTCCGTACTATCCACCGGAAAGTTGGCCGAGGTGCATCCAACACTGTAGAAGGACCTTTTCTAAGCGCTCCTTCTGCGACTCGTCCTCCAGGTGAAAGGAGCTTACAAGGAATCATGGGAAGGTTGTAGAGCTTCTGTGCTTCTCTGCATGCATCCCAAAAGAAGCAATGTCTGGAAAACATCAACGGACATATCTAAATCTGTTTTTTTCTGGGGGCATGTCTGGGTTGGCCCCTAAAACACTTTGAAAAATATTAATATATAGGGTCCCCTATTAAAGCCATCATGGAAAATAGTAAATATCCCCGGGGCCTACCCAGATGTAACGGGCCTTTTGGAAACATCATGCGTGCTTAAGTTGGTTTCAGCAGTCAGCCTGTTTGACATATGCTGAGACACACCGCCGCTACCATCACTGATCACCATCACCTCGATTAACCTTATCCTGTGTTCTCTCGCCATCAGCAAGTCCTTGGGGATAATCTTTGGCTCGTAGGCCTTGCGCTCATTGAACGCCCCGTACGCCTCCGCAGGGCGAATCATGCTCAGGGATGTTAGGGCTCAGGCTTGAGGAGTCATGGATTTTAGGATTTAGGGCGTGCGGCGCTTGGAGTTTTGAGTTTAAGTCCTGTGCACTTTGGGGGCCCTGAGGTTCGCTCAGCGGCCTGGAGTAAGGAGGTTACCACTGGAGCCAACATCCTAGAGCCGTATGGCCGACCCTCACGGAACCGAACACCAAAACCCGAACATGAAAAAGTTAACCCCGAGAGTCTAAATACTCAACAATTAGGTACTTGGGTTTAGGGCAATAATAATAGTATAATTTTGGGGTAAGTATACGAATATTAGGTACTTGGACCCTAGGGTAAAGAAACTACCACAACTGTGCCGTTTTGAGGCCGGCTTCTCTCTCTTCCGGCCCTGGGGCCTCGAAGACAGGACTTCATCTTTGCATTAGATCATTAGGTTTATGGTAAGGAATGATGCCAGAAGATCTTGAACAACTTGAACCTCAAGAATCCCTTCCCCCTCAAAATTCCCCCCACCCCCTAATATAAAATACTCACCATTGTGGTATATTACATATTGGTGAGTATTTAATATTAGGTGAGGCCGGGAGGTTAATTTTAGGGAGAAGATCTTAGACAAACCCGCAACCTCAACCTCCCCTCCCTCAATCCCAAGCCCTTCTTCACTACGTCCCTAAGTACCCAGGGAGCCCAATACCACCCCTGGTTTCCATCCGGTCTGCAAGTTCAGCCAGACTCAGAAACCCCCTTGGTGTAGCCCAATACCCCCTGATTAAGGAACATACCTTAAACCATATAAGGGACCCTAATACAATTTCAGGTACAATCCCTGAAGGCTCATTCAAAATACTTGCCCCCGAAAGGGCGATAAGGAGGATCTTTTCCATTAAGGACTTTCGTTAAGGAAGTGTACTCTTGATGCTTCCCCTTTTGCAACGGACTTTAGAACAGCCCCCACAATACCCTAGACCCCAAACCTCTAAGCCCTCAACCCTGTTTGTGGGTTCCTTAGAAAGCCTAATATTGACAGTAGCTCGCATGAGCCATAGTCTAAACTCCTAGTATCCCCCCGAATAACCCCTGTTGTAATGCCTTATATAATCCCTTATATAACCCCCTAAACCCTAAACCCTAATAGCTCACATGGACCCTAATAGGTTTGGCCTCCGCAGAGACAGATTGTCGCTGCTTGCGTTGGACGGGAGGCCTGAGGTTTTAGGGTTTAGGGTTTTCGGGTTTAGGGTTTCAGCTTTGAGGCTTTGGGTTAAATTAAGGTTTAGGATTTAGGGTTTAAGATTTTGGTTCCAAATTTGATGTTTTTCTATAAGCCCCAGGGACTTTTTTCCGTCTGCACGAGTGTAGATTTGAGGGTGAGGGTTTGAAGTTTAAGTTTTTGGGTTTAAGGCTTAGGGTTGCAGAGGCCTAGGGGGCCCAACACTCCTCAATCAAGGAACTCACCTTGAATCACGTTATGGCTGCTAATAATCCCATAGCTGTAACCACACCCCAGCCCCTAATGCTACACCTCTCCAATAATACAGCTAGGGGTTGGGGGTATTATTGGGGGAGAGGTGATCAGCAAGCATCTACGAACTGAGATTCCTGAAAGACCGTGCTTCTCATCATGAAAACTAGTAATTATGGACATGCCCATTGAGGGTTTAGGGTGTGAAAACTGCGAGCACGTTTAGGACGAGGTTCCATGACGTTCCATGTCTGCCGGTGAAGCGTTCTCTTCACATGCCCGCTTACAAGCTCTTTATCAGGTGGAAGTCCCAACCCAAGTTCCCAAACCATACCCGAGAACGAACCACCAAACAAACACGCCCAACATGTAAAAAAATATCGAGGCCTCGACCCCCATTAAATCACTACACAAGCCCTGTCTCCATGTCATTTGTTCTGAGATAACTTCTCCAGTATTGGAAGAAAATACTGATATAACGCTGTATGCCCCCGGAACACCCCTCTTTAAAGGGGCCCCTTTTCGTGTAATATGTGGGGCAAGTACGAATCTTTGCTGGGCGGCGGAGGCGGCAAGTCTGGGGCATCGTCATCACCCCCGCTGTCCTGCTGGGCTCGGTGTAGGAAGGATCATCGGCCCAAGGACCCAAATATTTATACTTCGGCTTTGGCTTCTACATGTGAAGGGTCGCGCTGCTGATGTGGGAAGAGTGCAGGGAATATCAATTCCCCATATTCTAGGCCGAGGCTTCCGAACACATCGCGCCAACAGTGGGATGAGGGATGATAAGTTTGTAGGTAGTCAGCGCCATACATTAATGAGCGCTAATCCTAATTTCAGGGCTACTTCGTCTGCTCACCATCCTTACCATCAGGTGCCTGCGCCCGGATGGTTTAGATAGTGACCCCGACGTCCACAGCACGTGATATACCTGCAACCCATAATTACCTACAGCTCAATAGTTGTGACCCCCTGGTTAGCAGGTATAACTGCATGGCCCATGAAGCTGCAGGTAGTTGGTGACTGCCTACACTTCGGGTGACCATGTCCTCGTCGCTGTCGTTTGCTTCCTTCTGCGGCTTTGGGGACTCTGCAGGGAGAACGGTGCCGGCGGTCTCCTGAGAAGGAATCCGCACAGGTTTCTACGCATCATGTAACCCTGGGCATCTAAGTCGACAAATCACGCTTACTTTGGGCCCCACCTGGACCCTGGATGTCCTACCTTTTCGGAGACATACTCTGTGAAGATGTAGGGCAGAAGGACGGACATGAAGGGTCCAGGGAAGGTCTATACATGGTACCTATATAAAAGCTATTTGGAGGCCTTGAGTAGAGTTCTTGTCTGGAGGTTTATGGTTTTGTCGTCTAGACAGAGAGCCTGATTCGGCTTCAGTAAAGCATTTTGCATCTTATCACAATATTTTCGGGTTTTGGGGTACTGGGCCGCGTGGGCTTTCCTGGTCTTATCTCTGAACCCTGGTACAACTACCTCTTCTGCATCACCTAGGCAGGATAATCAAATCTACACTTGTCTATATACAGATGACCAGTCTACATATACATATATACACATAGACACACATGTCTTTGCTGATGTTCGCATGGTGGATGCCGGAAGTCAGGCAGGACTCGAAGCCCTTGCAACTATAGTTCGCTAGGTAGAAAATATGCGTGGCAAAAACCTAGAGCTTCACAAGGTTAACGGAACGCAACGAAAGCTATAATGTTGGCAAAAAATCGTTTATAAATGGTGAGTCATGTAGGGTCCCGTACTTAATAAGTAGGCTTAACAACAAGGATAGCTGAGGCTATAATATTGTTTTTAGGGAGCCTAGACGTCCTAAACCTTAAGGCAGGCTACTGTAGCTGGAAAACAGGGCGACTTAAAGCTGTTGGGACAGAATGCTTACTGCTTAGGGTTTAGGGTTTGGGGTGTGCAGGGAGGGGTGTTGGGGCGATAAGAACCATAGACTGTTGGGGATAGGTAGAGTTACACCCTATGATCATCGCGTTGGGCTACGGAGCATAGTTATGTAACTAGGGGCGCCCAACTTGTAGCACCAATAACGATACTCTTCCATCGCCATTATTTCCATCTACTTCTCCCACAAACGCTTTGCCCTTCCTCCAGGCTCTAGGATTTAGGGGAATCAACCCGATGCTGCTGCTGGCAGCTGCCAAGACACTCCGTCAATGAGATCGTAATCGGTGCCCTGGCTGTCCTTGCAGACTGCCTCCGAGTAGCCGCCCGTTTCAGCAGGGGTTGTATAGGGATAATGGAAAAGAAAATGGAAACTACTGTAGTATATTGGGGTTATGTTGCGGTAGTAGAAAAGAAAATGGAAACTACTATAGTATCAAGGGAGTGCTTCAAACTAGTGCGGGGATGTTAGAGCATGTCCAGGTTAGCTGAGGAGAGCACAAGCCCAAAGCGGAAAGGTGCACAAGGGCTCTGCTGAGATTGATTCTATGCTGGGTACTGCCCCTACCGAGTAATAGTCTGTAATAGGGGCAAAAGTAGATGCCATTACATACCTTTGTCGCGAATGCTTGGTGCATGTATGCCCTACAAAAGAACCTTGTCGCAAAGGTGCTTGGCGCAAGCCAGGAGATTCTGTTACAAACNNGCCCAAGCCTGTTACAAACCCAGTGATTTTTTTCACAGCCATATAACCCCTTCTAGCTCTAGCTAGAAACCGTATTATCTCAAAGTCCATACCAGCGACTGGTATCCACAAGAAACTGTCCAAAACGCCGGGGAAAGATTCTATACAAGGAGATGAGAACCCTAAACCGTGAACCCCACGCCCTCGGCCCTAGTTCCTGAATCGTACGCTCAAACTAACATGGAACCCAGCAATAGTCTTCGAGCCTTTGTGGGGGTTCCACGTTAGTTTGAGGGAGGGACGGTCTCAGTGAGTTTGGGGGACTTGTTAGTGGAGCCTCCAGTCGCTTGATCATGAAGTCCACAGGGTCCTCCGGTCTGCTAGCCACCATGTCCTGTTCAGGGATGATACTTTGCTTGTTTCAGGTTTTGCAGGATGAGGCTTTAGGGGTTCAGGGGTGTGTTGCAGGATTCTGCTGTGGAAGTTGGGGCTTACTTGAGGGCTCAGGGCGTGGGGTACTTTTGGTTCATACATATACGAAGCACTTCGGGACTCGCAAGGCATTTAGAGCTTGCTTGCCTGTGGATGGGCACAAATGCAAGCCTGACGGAGGTCTCGGGTTCCAACCACGTTTCTGCTTCCTGAAAGGGTAGTCGCCCCCCCCGGACAGGCAAACAATGTTGAATTTCAAGATTCGTTGGAGCCAACCCCCAACCCTACATGATTCTTGAACCATAAAAGCACCCATATCACCCAAATCCTATGCCCGACTTCTTCCCCCATAAGCCGCAAACCACCCAAGCCAGCTTGGAACGCTACATATCCCCTTCTGAAGGACAGTAGCCTTCATATGCACTTTTGGGTGGCTCATGGGAAATCCTAACCCCCAAACCATTGTCCTGCAGTAGCTCCTGCATTTGCCTTAAGACGTCGTGGTTGTCCAAATAGGTGCGCATCCTCGAGAAGGCTCTTGACTCAAAAGACGGGCACCCCTGGGACCCCATGGGGGGGTTTCCCAAAATCAGGGGTTCCCCTAATAAGGATCATAGTATATTGAGGTCTATATTGGGGTTCCACTATTTTGGGAAACTACGATGGATCTTTGGGAGTTATGCGAGGATTAGAGGGATCCGGGATTCCACGTAGGGATGATGTAGGAGCATAGGACTCCCTGAGCCGGCATCTTTGCTTTTTCCACTCCCAAGGCTCCTCCCCCACATCTTCATATCGAAGCCCCCCCAATATGAACCCAGTACTACATTATGGGGAAACCAGGGGATTATTAGGGGGTTCCAATTGTTTGGATCCTTTAGGGGGTCTGGGTCTGAATTGCTCTGATGCAGCCCTAACTTGCCTGGCCAGGCATCCATCCCTCCGGCTCAGGAGTCTTACGGTTGTACGCTTGGGTTTGGGATCCTTGTAGGGAATCCCAAGGGGGCCACATAAGCTAGTCCAAACTCCCTAAAAGGCGTTATATATTGGATTATATAGGGCTTGGGGTTTAAGGTCTGAACTCCTTAAGGGTGGTTATCTACGGAATTGTTTAAAGGGACTAGGGATCATTAAGGGGGGATACTAGGGATTTAAACAATTGTTCAACATTACTTCACAGACTTAGAAGGGCGATACTGGGGCCATGTGCGGGAACCGACCTGAATGCCACACCATGAAGCCAGGGATGGTTATAGAGGTTTAGTGGTTTTGGGGTTTAGGGTTGATACTAAAAATCCTGCATGACCTTAAAGTACACTAGTACCATAATTCTCAAAGAATACTGTGCTGAGATTCAGTAAGGAATTTTAGTATCCACTGTATGGAATTGACCTAGATCATACTAAGATCCCTGTATACTTCATATTCTATCTACTCAAGGAGGACTGTAAACCTAAACCACGAAACCCTAAACCTTAATCCTTAAACCCCAAACCCCACACCCCAAGCCCTAAACTACCAGAGATACTGTAAACCGGGAGTCATCAACGCTGTTTGCAGCTTTCGGGAGGGCGTGCTCGTGGCGCCCACAGCGAGCTCGGTCGCTTCTTCCTTTGGAGCCTCGGTTGAGAACGATACCGCTTAGAGTCTAGGCTTTAGGGATGTTTAGGATTTGGGGTTGAAGGGGTTTACGTGTACTTGTTCCTGTTATTTTTCTGATTTAAAACATGATAGCAAGAAGCCAGAATTAAGAACTAACATGTAGTATCAGCGATACAGACTCACTCATACAAACGTTGAAGTATATCCGCCCTCGGCATTTAGGGTATTCAGCCTACCCAGGTGTCCGGTGCTTAGGGACTTGTACACTTGCAACCTTAGCCTTTCAGTAGTTGACGGTAGGCTTCCTCTTCTCTAAAAGGCTAAAGTTCATCCTATGTACAAGCGGAAGACATCCTCATTTGGTTTCAGCTGACCCCCTAGTCTAAGCCCTGAGCCCTGACTATGGGATTCTGGTCTACTAGGGCTTCATCCCTATGGTTGCAAGGGCAGTCATTTCAGGGTTCAGGGTGACAAAGCTACCTTGAGTGAAACATCTTCAGGATTTGGCACGTCGAGGTTACAGTGTAGGATTCAGCGGCTTCTTGTCCAGCAGTCTAACATTTCAGGTTTGACCCTCCGCCCATCCGTTAACCTAAGCCTTGGCCTAGAAGCTTAGGCCATACAATACATTCCTGGTTGTTCGGGCACATCCATAAACAATGAAGAGGTCTCACTTATATGCACCACACACGAACGTCCTCGTTCTAGGTGCCCTATCGTGGACCTGAAATATTCAGGGACACCCATTCATGTTTAGAGCTGACCGTGTTGCTGACTCATATGGTTTGAGTCAGGCAGCAAGACCCCAGTGATGTCGTGACACTTGAACTCCCCCAAGCCTGCCTATTGACCGACTGTCCGCGAAGACTCCAGTGATTTAGTGATTCAAGCCCTACACCCTAAACCTAAACCCTAAACCCCTAAACCCTAAACCCTGAACCGTAACACCCTTAGTGGTTCAAACTCTCACACTTTAGCCACGATGCTTGGAAATCCTGCTGGGCCCACACCATGCTTACACCCCATAATCTGAGACCTACACCAGCAAATCTCCAGAAGGCCCCTTACTCCTAAACTGTATATAGTAGTTTCCCTAAATTACTGTTCCCAAAATGGGGGATATTTATATAGGGCCCCGTATTATAGGGAATTTAGACCAATCCCCATATAAAGGTTTCCCAAAATTATGGGTACCATTCTGGGGGTCCCTATAATAAGGATTCTAATGCATTGGGGTCTATATTGGGGTCCCCCTGTTTTGGGAGACTACCATATAGTCCCTAAAGCCTAAACCCCCAAAGCCTTAAACTCTGAACTCCTGGCAAATGGCTTCCGACGTCTCGCGGATCTGAAACTTGAGCTTTACCTCCTGAAGACAGCGTGGCAAGCTGGCTAAACTCCCAAGACTAAACCCAGCTTGGGAGCCATCTTAAGGTAAACCCTACCTGGACCCCCGAAGTATGCAGAAGCATGACCCTTTTTGCTGTTTTGGGGGCTTATAAACCATTGTTTTACGTACAGTGGGCCTAAACCCTCAACCCCTAAACCCCTAAACGGTATGCCCCAAACCCTGAACTGTCTTCTCCTCATGCACGCCCAGATTTGGAGCCGCTGCGATTGGCACCTTCATCTCATGACTGTCCAGCTTAAGACATAGGGTAGTTTGCGGGCTAGAGTTCCGGATTTTCTTGTAGTTTGGGCATCAAAACCGGCACTTTGTGTCCTGCTTCTGAAAATCGAACCACAGAATCTGGATGGTCTTAAAACCAACGTCACCCCTGGGCGTTCCAGCGCAGTACCTTGTTTCTTCTTTTAAGTCCTCATGAGCACAAGAGTCACAACAGACGAAAAGAAGGAATTACAATTGGTAGATCACCCCCTGAAATACTCCCACCACCACCGCCGCTGCCGCCGCCACCGCCACCGCCACCGCCACCGCCACCGCCACCGCCTAGTGATCAATACTCCCATAATATATTGGGCAAGTATTGAAGTATGTATCTTATCCCGGGGCGGGCTTGGGTCATTCTTACAGCAGGGTATTAGCCTTTAGCGCTCGACCCAAAAAGGCGGCGAGCGTGTGCGTATGCTAAGCCCTCGTTGGGTGGACTGGCAATTTGTGAAGTAGCTGATTTCATAGCTGCGCCCTATTGAACCCCAGCTTGAAAGCAGCACAGCTACAGGCGCAAACAGGTGGCCTAAACCCTAAACCCTAAACCCTGAAGTCCATCTAAGGCAGCCCTGCAAGCCGTGAACCTGAAAGCCAACATCACACACCCATGTTGTCTGGGGTGGGGTTAGGGCCTAAAACCCAAATCCTTAACCCCTAGGGCGTAAACCCTAAACCTTTAGGGTTTAGGGCTCAAAAGACACCAGCTTGTCTAAACGCTAAATTGCTCAAGGCCCGAGGAGGGAAGCCGATATCATGCTTCTCCGAAAGCCTAAGCCCTCGAGTTTCCTAAACTTTGGGGTACCTTAAATTCTAAAACCGACACAACCTGAAGCCGACTTTGCCTCCTCTACACAAGACACGCATCAACTTCTTCCGCACCCTACAGCACACACTGGGTAGCTTCCCAAAATTAGAAGAATCCCAATCAAGCATACATATTGTTCTAGTCCTCATTATAGGGATCTTCGGTCAACGCTAAGGCACTTCGTAGACCCTAGACCCTGAAACCCCGTGAACCCCTAAAACCCTAAACCCTGAAATCTCTAAACCCTTAAATCCAAACCCCTAAAAACCCTAAACCCTCAACACCCTTAAACCCTAACCCCTAAACCCCTAAACCCCAAGGCACTTCGTAGACATCCTGGCCAGGAGCCACATCGAAGCTGTAGCTTCCGATTTGGGTCATCCTAAGAATTGGCTTGGGGTAGTCTAGGCTTTAGGAAATCTAGGGTTTAGGGTAATGTAACCCTGATTAAAACCCCCTCCTTTTGAAGGCCTTAATATTAGGATCCCCATTATAATCCCTTTTAAGGGGAGGGGGTTTATTAATCAGGGGTCTGGACTGATTTAGATTCGATGGAATTTAGGGTTTAGGCTCTAGGAACTTTAGGGTTTAGGTTTAGGGTGAAGGGTTGGGGAAATTTAGGCTTTAGAGAATTGAGGGTTTGGGGCTCGGGGCTGTGGTGAGTTAGGCTTGAGGGAATTTAGGCTTTAGTGTTTGGGCGATTTAGGGTTTAGGGCTGGGGAAATTTCGGGGTTAAGGACCTAAGGGTATGGGGTAATGGGCGTGGGTGCACGACTCAAGCGCCCCTCAGAGGAGGGCTTGCTTGATAGTGCTTCAAGAAGAGTGGAGCAGGGAATCCAGGTACACTTACGAAAGAAATGTAATTACAAATACTGTACAAGGATGCGCCTGCAGCCGCTAATTTATGCACAGTTCAGCGCAGGTTGGGTATCCTACATCTCCTTCGTAACTTCTCGCTCGATAGAGCTGATCGAATCATGTGGGCTCTGACGCAGCCGGCGAATGGGCCTGTTTATTAGCAAGAGGGTTGTTCCGGCTTCCGTGTTAGGCAGAGACCACTACGTGCAGAGTGCTTATAATCAGGCGCGTCTTGAAGCTGTACTCTAAAGCCTCAATGTTTAGCAAGAACGTCTCCTTACGTCTGTAGCATAGGTTGTAGGCAAGTTATGGCAAGTTTATGACTATTTGAGCTACAGTCAGTACTTCCCCAGAAAAAATACTGGATATGGATTCCTTATTAGGCAGCTTATTAGGGACTTTAGTAAACTACAAGATGGACCCCCATGTCCACCCTTAAGAACCCCTTAACAAAGTTAACATTGACAGTAGCTCATATGACTATTTGGTAGTTTCCCAAAATGAGGGGACCCCAATATAGAACCCACATACTATATTCCTTCTTATAGGGAACCCCCAAAAAAGGTACCCCTAATTTTGGGAAACTTTCATTTGGGTCCTTGGACCCTCAGGGTTGCAGGTAAAACCCCATGTCCTAGAACCACTCAAGCCAACATCCCCTATGCTTAGACATAAGACGTATATGAGGCTTATGTATGGGGAAATATGAATTAGGGCTATGAAATGCTTACACATGGGAGACTACCCACCTGAAACTTCCTTAGATTAACCTCGACTGAACTGATCCCCAAACCCTTAACTCTAAACCCTGAACTGACACCCCAAACTGAGATGGCAGGGCGATGAAACAACTTGTCGGAGATGCGACGGCCTAGATCCCCAGAAAAGACACCAACTCCTGACCCTGAACCCGAAACCGGGTATAACATCCAGCTCTTGGCCCCAAAGCCCCAGTTATTATTACTAGTAGTGCTACCACTACCACTACTACTACTCCTCCTACGACTACCACTACTACCACGACTACTACTACTACTACTACTACTACCACTACTACTACTACTACTACTACTACTACTACCACCACTACTACCACCCCTACTACCACCACTACTACTACCACCACCACCACGACTACTACTACTACTACTACTACTTCTACTACTACTACTGCTACTTCTACTACTACTACTGCTACTAATACTACTACTACTACAACATGTATATATATATCTTATATGTTCAAGAACTCCTTAGGGTTATGCTATAATAGAATTTAAAAATACTTCCTAAAGAGACTACCCCAAACCCTGGATGCACTACTTTTACTGAGGTTAGCCCAACGGCAGGTCGACTCGCACGGGCTCTGTGCCAATACCTGGCTGCAGCTCCAAGTTGCATAGTCCCAGCTTTTAATAGGGTTTAGGGTTTAGGGTTTGGAGTTTAGTGTGGTTTGCTTCTTAAATTTGAGGGTACCCATCTGGGGTGCCCATGCCACCAAAACAAGGATTATATTTTTGGGCAGTTTAGATTAGGGACCCCCCCCTTTGAGCAACTACCATATATGCTTTGGGGGGGTTTGGATTGGGGACGGTGTGGGGGCTTGGGGTGAGCTTTCAGGGTTTAGGCAGTGGTGTGGGGCTGCATGGTCCAAGGTGTGGAGTTTGAAATGCGAAGCTTGGGTGTTTGGTTTGGGGCTGATAGGTTACTAAACAATCCCTGACTTTCTGAGGATATGCAAGTTTACAGTGACAATTTCCACGAAGCAGTGCTCGAGTGACATGATCTGGGCGGAAATTTGGACCAATGATGCAGACGCGTACGGAGAATCAGGAACAAAACAATGGCGCCGGCAGCAGCAGCCTGAACCTTAAACCCTAACCCGCAGCAGCAGGGGCTGCCTTATAGCTGGGGATGAAGGAATGGATCCTCATAGTAGTCCCTATATGACCCGTTAAAAGGCTTTCCATTTTTCCCATTCCTGCATTCCCACCCTAAACCCTGCATTCCTTCTATTCCTTCGCTCCCAGCTACCCAAAGGTAAGTAATTCCGCCATATACCTCCAGTTTCCATGTCTTGTTGTACAATTTGTTTTCCATTTGAGTCTCCATTATTGGGGGGGGGGGTAACCCTAAATCCTGAGCCTATATAACCCATTATCTCTGCTAACCAAAGGTAAGAGGAAGCGATGGCCTGTGACTCCGATAGCCTTTCCTGTCTCGATCTGCGCATGCCGGCGCGTTGTGCCCGTGTGGAAGGAGATGATCGCACCTTGCTTCGCAGAAGATGAACGGTTTAAGGGTTTAGGGTTTAGGGGTTAAAATCAACAACACTAATACCACTGACGTTCATTACGAACATCGGAATCCCACCAGCAATCTTGCTACGATGAGGGGCAATTCCACTGTTCTAAATGGAACTGTTAATTTTCCGCGCCCTTGGTCCATTGGTGCGGGGCAAAGACACCTGTGTCCGGGCAGTGCTGAATGCCAGATTGTCCCGTTACTGCATGGAGTATCTAGCTCAACTATCCTTGCAGTACCGGCTCCATAAAGAAGCCCACCCGAGCGTCTTTGCAAGTTCTGGTGCGTAATTAACAGTAAACATAAAGTCATGCAACAGAAGGATCCGGCGGCAATGGTCTGCCACAAATATCCCCAGGGTCTACGGATGTGTGTGTGTTCTGGGTAGCATTGTCGATACTCCAGGCACTTGGATGCTTGCGAAGCGCGGGCAAACTTAACGACTACAGTGGACAAAAGGAAAGCTGGCGTGTCAACAGTGGAACCTTCGGCCGTTGGCGTCGGCGGGTGCAACTTGTAAAGGCTAGACGGCTAGACTGAAGGGGGCGTGGCAAATCTAACCATCAAATCTCGAGGCGCGTCCCTCCTTATTTCGCGGAGCAGATCTTGGAGCTTCTGTTTCAAAATCTACTTGTAAATGCCCACGATGGAATTCGAGCGCAAAACCCCGTTCAATCCACAGAAGCCCCTTTCCTTTCGCTTGCAGCGCGCATAAGTCCCCACAAAAACCTCTTTGTGAGGCCAATTGAAGCTCCATAAAGGCAGGGAAAATGCATTCGGCATTACCTGTGCTTCAAAGGCACCAGGGGGCAAATCGCCGGAGTCGATCACGGTGACCTGCATGGCTCTGGAGGGTGTAGGGGTATTTCTCGACAAGCAAGATGCATTTGGATGCTTTTGGTACCTCCTCAACAAGACAAAGTGTTTGTTCCAGTGGCTCTAGCCAATAAGTTTCAGAAACACCCTTACATCAGAAGACGACTTCCATTCTTCCTTCACATTACGCGAGAAAGATGGCGTGAAGTAAGTGACACTTTCCGCTTTGTTCTGCGTGGTCTCATCATTCATTTGCTTCAGGGAATCTCCAGGGGAGATTCAAGTGTACCCTTATTTCATGACCTCAAGCTCAACCCCCCTAAACCTCAAACCCCTCCCCCAGCAATCCTAAGCCTGGGCCCTTGATCAGCTTGTACCATTCCGAAGTGGTAACAGCCCCTACTACAGCCCCTTTTGTTAGCGCTCTTGCCGTGCGGGGGGCCCACCTGCTACGTGAAGGTTGCATATGCAGATACACCAGTTCCAGTGCAAAACCCATGCGTGACCTTGAACACTGGGCACCACAACCCTAAATCTGGGCACTGCTGCCATCGCATGACAGGCTTTTAGATCTTGCTTCTGCGGACGATCCAAAAGCCCTGAAGCCAAGACCTTCAAACAATGGATCAGCTGCTTGGTGGTTTTTCATAAGAATCTCAGCCGAAATGCCTTGCCAAATCTAACTGGAACAAATTCCCAATCCTGAACCTGAACCTCTTAACTTAACCCCAAAACAATAGTTGCCATTGTCTATACTTCTACCAATCTCCCTACATAACCCCTATATATCCCCGCATGATAGCCCTGACTCTAAGGCAAGCTGGGAACCATGAGCAAGCTTGGAGCTGAAACGTGGACTGTCTGCCCCTGTTTGGAGGGTCCTCAGAATACGTCGTGTTTTCGGTATGTCTCTTCCATATCGGAACTCCCATATGGGGATCACAAATGCCTCAAACCCCAAACACTACTCCTCAAACCCTTGAAAGAAATCCCACCATGAAGCCCTAAACTCCAAAATCTCCCTTTGTATGTTTTCGCCAATGTCTCACTGAACTGTAACTGCGCTGACTTTGCAGGGTGGTGCCTCTGGTTATATAACCAAAGGTCTAAATTCCATAAGTACAATCTGTAAGACATATATCTACATATACATCGCCATGCATGTGGGCCCACATGATAGATATCTTATAGCTTAAGTTAGATCCTCAGGGCACATCTCTATATGGACCCTCAAACCGGTTTTAAGACAAAGCTTTATCTTCAGAACAACCCCAACCTAGACCCTCCATCTACCCTCTATTATACCCTAAGTACCCACTATTAGGGACCATATATCCATTTTTTAAGGGTACAAGGAGGGTCCTGGAATATAATCACTGCAACCCCTCTAAAGTCCGTCAACTCTCGGGTTCTCTGTAGGGCAAATCGGAATATCTTCCCTAGAGGATACCTGAGGGTTTAGGGTTTAGGGTCTGATACCTAATATATCCCCTTCTTCCAAGCTAAGAACCGGTAAGTCCAAGTCAACCCTGAACCCTGAATCATGAATACTAAACCCCTTAACCCTTTTGAACCCAATAAACCCCAAACCCCTGAACCCTTTATATATGCATATATATATACATGTATACATATATACATATATACACCTATATAACCCCTATATAAGCCCTTTGAAAGGAAACCCTCAACTCTGCCTCCATGGCTGCTCGGAAGCGTCCGGGCCGAAGTGCGGGCCGATCGGGTCCACGTTTCGTGCCGTTGTTGGCTTGATACTTTGGGCCAACTGCTGCGGGGTTGATTCTTGTGGTATAGGGTTGAAGGTTTGGTGTGTATAGGGTTTAGGGTTCGAGATGTGGGGTTTAGAGGGTTAAGGGCCTAAGAATTATAATTAGGGCTGGGGGTTCAGGGTATCTACTGCGGAAGGGACTTCAAGGTGTTTACTTTATAGGTTCTATACGAGTGGTCCGCGAAACTCCTTGTATAATCCGATGCCACAGACAACTTGGGGGGGTCCTATCAATTTCGGGGTCATTTTTGGGGTAGGATGAAGGAAAGTTATGGCTCGTGGGGATTCAGCCGAAAAACACAATCATGATTTCGTCTCAGGTTGCGCAGTATTGCTTTTTGGTAGAACTATTTTGTCTTTTTTTGCACGATTTCAACATCTCACGGCATTTCTTCTCTTCGTCCCTGATACGCGCGTATTTACCATCACTCAGACTATAGCTCCTATGGGTATTTGGGACGTCTAGGTACGGTTGTAGGCTTCGGATCGAAGACAGTTTAGGGGTTGAGGGTTTAGGGTCTACTAAAGGTGAAAGCTGTGAGGACGACTTGCGGCCCTTCTTTTGAGATTTGGAGACTACTTGAGATTTGGAGACTACGTAGGGGTTCTCCTGACAAGAGCAGCGTCTATAAAGCACCTTTCAGGCTCATAAGCGGCTGAGAGATTAGAGCTGGGGATGCCCGCGGGCTTCAACGCAGCGATGTCAAAGTCTTGGGCATGACGTTCTTATGGTGTCCGGTGGCTGCGCTAAGTTTCGAAGTGTAGGGTGAGGTGGCTGAAGCTTGCACAAGGTTTTCCAAAACTGTGGCAATGTATCAGTTATGCTATGCGAGGCTTTGTGCTGGCGAGTGGGAAGGAGGTGCTGCGGGACAAGGCATGACAAGCTCCTGCGGAAACTTCAGCCTCTTAAGGGGTCTGATTCTTCAGGCTGTAACATCTAAGCATGCGAGTGCCCTCAAATATGAACATCTAAACTTATCTAGACTCCTGAAAGGGGGGTTCCATGGTAGTCTCCAAAAAAGGGGGACCACAATATAGAACCCAAATACTATAATGCTTATGATAACCCCCCAAAATGCTACCCCTAATTTTGGGAAACCCCCATATAGGGCTTATTAAGGGGACACGAGGAGTTTTGACTTTAACCCACTATAATCCCATACAGAATCCCAGTTTCCTTTTAATTTTCGATTTTCTTGTCTATTTGATTCTCCAATATTCGAGGATAATATCCCTAAACCCTAAACCCCGATATAACTCCAATAATAGAGCTCATGTCTGGGCTCGAGAGGCCTCGTTTGGAAGCAACTGACAGCAGAAGGGCTGGTTCTGGGAACATTTCTATAGGTTTACGGGCTTAGGGTTTAGGATTTAAGGCTATGTGTGAGGCACCTTGGTAGACTTCGAAAAATCCTGATCCGCCCCACAGGGTAGCACTGTCACCAACCAAATCTCCATGAGGTCCCTCCCCTCTCCCATCCTGGGATTGCAAGCGGTCACTATGGCATTTGGAACCCTAAGCCCCTTTACCCTAAACCCTAAGCCCTACACTCCCGGAAACTAACATGGAAACACAAAAAGGGCCCTATGAAGACTACAGTTCCTCTAAAAGAGGACCCTATGGGTTTCCATGTTAGTTTGGGAGAGTGTAAACCCATTGTGGGAGATCCTTTGCCTCGAACGGCCCGTGCCCCAAGACTCATTCAAATCTCAGGATACGCTTTTCCTCAAGTACTGTATTTCGGTAGTTCTCAAAATTGGGGTCCCATGTTCATGCCACCCAAATATTAAGTGCCGTAATAAAATCTATGGCCAATATGGGCCCATAATTTTGAAAACAACCGATTTGGAATCTGGTTACTGCGACCGTCCTGCAACGGATAGAGAATACTTTCGATGTAGCCATAAGTCCTCATTTCATACTACCCCCATCAAGGACGCTGAGTAGGTGGGCGCAGTACACAATGTTGAATCAAAGACATGGGCTCTCCTGGGTTCAAGGTTGTATATACTGCAAGACACAAGCCCCTCAGCACAGGGACTACCCTAAACCCTTGAATCCCTGAACCTTTAACCTTAAGCCCTCAACCCTAGGCCCTAAATCCTAAACGCTAAACCGTAAACTTCCCTAAGCCCGACTCTAAGGCAGCAAAGTCCAAGCCGGCACCTGGCAGCGGCGTAGATTAGCATGTCCTGTTCATGGTTTAGGGTTTAGGATGCGGTTTCAGGGTTGGGAAAAACCATACAGTGAGGGGCCCTAGTTAAAACTTGGGTTATAGAGTAAGTTGTAGATTGGTTCAATAACATTGTCAGTCCTATGAACGGTAGAAATTAATTGGATTTATGCGTAAGGGTTGTCTAACAAAGGGCACCGGCCTGTACGTGATAGCTCAAGACCCCAATCATAACGGAAAGCCTCTGACGGTTCCACACATGCCGGCCTAAATGGGGATTGCATAAGCCGACCGCCTTTTCCGCTCGCTTTCTAAAGCTTCCCAGTGAATTGAGCTTATTCTTTAGTGGCAACTTGGGGGACATGTTATTCGGTGGGGGGTTGGGTAAGGGGGTGGTGGGGAGAGCCCAAACTCAGGTGGGGACTATCAGCCCAAATGGTAGAATACTCTCAACAATCTTGCAACTACGAAGGGGGCCCTTTAAAGACCACACTCTTTCCAATAAACTGGACCTATGTCTGCTTGCATGTTGGCTTATTGGGGTTTAGGGTTTAGGAAATGGGGTTTGGGTTTAGGGTTAAGGTATAGGGGTTTGGGGTTGAGGACAGGCTTATGGAAGCTGCTGTGAGCAGCTCAGCGTGATGAAGCAATGATGGAGAATCTCCTGGCTCCTCTACTGAGCGTCGTGCTTATAACGGGTGTTTCCTAAAACTGGGGGTTCCTTTTGAAGGTCCCTGTAATAAGGGATAGCCAGTCATAGCATTCTGGAACCTATATAGGTGTCCCTACTTAGGGAATCTACCAAATCGAAAAAGCACACTTCACGATATGATATGGATCGTGCAGGGGTGTAGACATGATTTTGGATGTAAGCTTGCGTCCACGGCTTTAGAAAGTGGGCTGCGGCACGACGCGTGTTCCTTGCCCACTCCAGCTTACGCAGCATGAAGGGCATCCTAGGCCATCATTCCAGCCTACTAGTTGCCTTTCCGTGGTAGCGTGATTCAGCCCAAGCCCTAACCTCTGAATTGGTTGAAAGCTAAGCCTAAACCCTTTTGCTGCGT